GGGACCTCCGAACCTATTAAACCTTAAAAAAATTATCATTTTTCTAAAAAATCATAATACGCATAATTGTGGGTTCTTCAAAATATCATTGCAAAAAGAAAAAAGAAAAAAAAGAGAGGGGAAGAAATCAAATGATCCTGTTAAAGGTGCTTAATTTTAGAAGTATTTTCAGATTTTGTTAAATTAATTTAAAAAATGAAATTATTTTCTTTTGATTGTCCATACTTTTTCACATATTTTTAATTATTATATTTTCAATTAAATTTTTTAAACAAATCTTAAAGAGTAAAATTGTGAAAAAATATGGAGAACCAAAAAGAGAAAACCTCTTATATAATAATATAGATATTTATATTTATCAAAACATCGTACCAAATTTTTATGGTAGTTTTTTACTGTAAAATTAAGTACTTTAATTATGAATGCGAGACAAAATTATAATTATAAGTTTAACAACAATTATAAAATAAATTATAGCATTTTTTATTTGATATATTTTATTGTCAAATATTTAATAATTTATCTATACAAATATTTTATATTCTTTGGTAAGAAAGTGCTTAAGAATTTTATTATAATAAAAATTGGGAAACTAATATGAATCACAAAATATTAGTTTTATTTGAAATTTATATTATTTGGAAGCTAATAAAATAAACCAAAGTGTATTTTACTTTTATATTTTCTTCAGCTTCCCATCTTTAAAACAAATAAACTGAGTTTTATATATCTTAATATATTATTACTATTATCTTACTAACATGGAATTGTTTTTTTTTTAATTATTAGAAGAACGATTAAACTATATAACATACAAATTTACGGTATACTTGGTTTTAAGTAGAGAAATAAAAAATTAAAATATAGAAGAAATAAGTTGAAAAAAGAGGATAGAAAATAAAATTGATGTCAAATTATTTAACAAAATAAAAATAAAAAAAATAATTTTTTTTTAAATAATAAAACTTGAAAAAGAAAAAAAATAAATTATATAAATAATATATTATTATTATATTCTTAACTTTATACTTAACATCCAAATATAGAGGAAGCATTACATAGTTAATAAGATAGATCAGTTAACTCGTTGGAAAAAAAGAATAAAGTCATTTTTACAGTCATCTAAAGAAAACTATAAATCTAACTTTATATACAACATGTAATAGTATCAAAACTATGAATAACACTGATGTATCAAAAGTCCACCAAGAAACTATAAATACTATAAAAAAAATAGTCAAAAAACATTGCGCATCAGAAGCCCCTCCGCCTAATGCTTGCTCGACAGACACATCATCTTGCTCTGCTCACACCCACCAAATGATCATCGCCAAAGAAAAAAACACATAGAACAAATAACCAAGAAACATGCAAGAAGGGTAAGCTAGTTGAAAAATAATCATTCATATTAAAGTAAATACAATATACAAGTTCAAACACACCAAAAATTTCACATTTGTTACTCCTCACACATATTGTCTCAGGCTTGGCCAAACCCTTTACTATTTATTATAACTGTCGAGTCATGAATAGTTCTGCACTTGTGTGGTGAAACAGCTGACCCAGTCAAAGCTGTCACACAAGGTTAATGCTTAAAACGCCATTTGCTACCATGAATAAAGGCCCACAGGCTAGGACCTCCTGCTTCTATCACGACATAACTCATCACTCTCTAATTAAGCACATATGATCATTAGAGATTCAGAATAACCATCATATCGGCTTCTTACAATTTATACTAGTCTCCCATAAAATCACCAATAAGAGATTCCTCCTTAGAACTATTTCCACAACTTTGAAACCATATACTTTGCATATTTCATTATAATCGAAACATATTACATGGTATATAATAACATAAAACTTTTAAAACAATTCAAAGGGTCAAACATACCCAAGATCATCAAAGTCTTGTACTAAAAACTAAAATACAACCCAACCCTAAACTAGTCGCTCAATGACCATACTCGTTGGGCGACCAAAGAGTCTTCTCGCTCAACGACCCAACTCGTTGTGCGTATACACTAATAGTGGACCAATGATGACATATCCCTAAAAAATAACTCTTGTGTTGGAATGGATAATCTTTCAAACTTATACATCTAACACAAGACAAATACAAACTTCAAAGATGCTCCTACTCTCCAAGACCTTGATCATTCATTTGATTTAAGGTGTATCATTGTTGGGAGCTATAAAATGGGTATTTGACCTTGGTGGAGAAGCACACAAAACTCCAAAGAAGATAAGGAAGTTTGCCTTGTTTCATGTTGAAGATTTGAGGGCAAATCCTTTTCAAGAGGGAGGAAATGATGGCATACCCCTTGCCATGACCTAGCACATTCATGAAGAGTTGGAGGCATCTATGGAAAATGGGCCTAGACTCTAATCTTGGGCCATCTTAAGTCATCATGAAGATTTAGTAGAGTAAGAATAATTTTGGGCCTTGTATTTTGGGCCAAGTAGTCTAGATTTTATATGGGCTTAGTATTATGGGCCTAGTAGTGTAGGATTTCAATTGGGCCTTGTATTTTGGACCAAGTAGAATAAGATTTTGACCAAACAAGTCAACAAAGGGTCAAGGCCCAAAGTTGACTATGCTTGGACATCCAAAATGGGTGTGTTGACAAAGGAGTCAACATTTTGGCTAAGCTTGGAGGACAAAGGAGCAAGATTTCGTCCAAGGCATGTGGAGGCTTCCCATTAGAGAGTTTTCCTACTAGTTAGTGGCCATGTGGCACTCTAGGAATGGAGAGGTTTTCCATAGGTAGTGGTCACATGTCTCTCTCTCATTTGAGATGATTTTTGCCACTCCTTCTATTGGAGAGGATTTCTCCTTGCTCTCCAAGACAACCAAGGTGACTCTTTTAGGTTAAAGTTTCAGCCCATTTTGAGATACCTTAGCCTATAAATAGAGGTGCTCTCCATCATGTAATCACTTTTGATTTAGAGTAAAGTTATGTTGTCATTTTTGTGTCATACTACTCTTTTAAGGTCACCCTAGGTTAGAGCAACCTAAGTGGCCTCCTCTAGCCACCTTCTTCCAAGAGTTGGCCCAACCTCTCTTAGAGAACCCTTAAACATATCTTCCTTCACCATACAACTCACTAAAACCATGAGCTATCAACACCTTTCACCACCACAAAATTCCAAAATCTTCATCCATGAACTTATGGCTTGATTTGCTTCTATATTTGGCTTGTCCTACCTAGAGCATTGCCATCAACCAGACTCCTCAACCTCTCGCTCAACGACATGCTCGTTGTGTGAATAAACTAACATTAAACCTAGACCTCAACCTCTCACTCAACGACCCTACTCGTTGTGCGATTAAACAAACAGTGGTCCAGACCTCCCAACCTCTCGTTCAACGACCCATCTCGTCGTGCAAATCCAAAGACAATGGTTCAAATCCCTCAACCACTCGCTTAGCGACCCAACTCGCTAAGCAAATAAGAAAACAATGGTCCAGACCCCTCAACCACTCGCTCAACGACCCAACTCACAAGGCAAATAAAATGACAGTGATCCAGACCCTTAGCCTCTCGTTGAATGACTCCACTCGCTCAACGAGTCTGCATAATTCTGCACCACCAAAACTGCAGAATTTGCACCACTAACCATTCTTGACCAATTTGATATATTTTTCTCAACTTCTAACTCTCCTAGATCGTGTTATACCATCAATTTGACTTAAACAACTTCCTACAAACCATCCTCAAATCATTTTTAAGTGATTATTTACAAGATTCCACTATAACATTTCACAAATCTCAACCTATAGACCCAAAATGAATTATACCATTTTTAGCTCATACTTGTGCAACTTAGGGATCAGAACAAGTCACAATTGACTTTATTACTAACCCCAACCACTCAAATTTCTCTCAGAACATTCCCATCAAAATTTCACTACTGAAGACCCAAATTTGCATTTAAAACCATCCAAATCATCACCAAACTACTAATACCATCTTTCTAAACAAATTTCAACTAATTGACAACCCTAGCAAGTCACAATTCACATATAGACAAACTTTAAAACTGACTTTACCCTAACAATCTTAACTCAAAAACTCACCCACAAACCCCCCCCCCCCCTTTTAACGTTAAAATACTAATAATTCATCATATATTTTGATTTCTCTCTGCTGTAAACATTTTATACTATCATCCTTCACCGTACCAATCACACATTCAAGCCAATAATCACCTTTAACTAGATTCATACAATCATTTTCATTCAATCACTCATGCATATCAAAACAACACACAAATCAAACATCCAAAGTTAACATACATTAAATTTCCATACTATTACATACCCACACATACTTTGCAATTGAAATGAAAAGAAAAACACTAGTTTCCCTTACCTCTAAATCGACCGCCCAATTTTTCAAACGCTCCATCGATTACTTATTACACAAGAAACTTCTAAAAACACTTACAAATCACTGATTGGTGATTGAAGACCAACTTTAGAACCTCAATTGAACTAATAATCAATGAAGAGAGATTCTAGACCCATGCAAAATCAGAATCACCTTGCATGATCATGAACCCTAAAATACCAAAGGGTAGGGATTATCAACTTACTTGCTCTAAACAGCGAATTAATTGGTTAGAGTTGTAGACCTTGACGCAATGATCGTCTAGGTTCCTCTTGATCGTCAAACAGATGATCAAAGAGTTAGAATGCTTAGAAAGATGGTAAAGAGGTTAAGAGAATAGTGTTTTAGAGAGATAGAATGTGTTTTAGATAATGAGACGAGTTTAGAAAATTCTATTTATATTATGATATTATTTTATAATAAAATACTCGGTCTCATTATTTTAACACACCTATCAACTCTAATACTCTATTTTCTAAGTTCTTACATTCTCCTTAACAACAAAAATTTTCGACCTCGAAAATTAGACTTACCAGATAACAGGTGAGGATACGACTTTCTCATGACCCCCTCTAACTATAAAGTAGAGTCACTTGTCCTACTAACCTAGACAACTCTGACTAGACCGATGGTCTTTCCTCTAAGTTGCGTGGTCTGACTCTCCACAATCTCTACAGGCTGAACATCCACTAAGAGATCATCTCTAACATGTACATCTTCTACTTCTAACATATGTGAGGGATCATGCACGTACTTCCAAAGCTGTGAGACATGAAACACATGATGTAGATTTGACAATTGAGGATGCATGGTTATCTCGTAGGCCATTGGCCCTACATGTCTCAGAATCTGATACGGGTTAATAAACCTCAGAGATAACTTTCTAGAACGAATGGTTCTGCCTACACCAGTAGTAGAAGTCACTCTAAGGAAAATGTGGTCCCCAACTGCAAACTCTAACGGTCTCCGTCTCTGATCAGCATAGAATTTCTGCCTATTCTGAGAAGCCTTCATCCTTTCCTGTATAAGCTTCACTTTCTCAGTAGTCTGCTGAATCAGCTCAGGTCCAACTAATACCGATTCTCCCTCCTGAAATCAACAAAGAGGCGTTTGACAACGTCTAACATACAATGATTCAAACAGTGTCATACCAATGTTGGTCTGACTATTGTTGTTGTTGATGAACTCCACCAATGACAACACTTCATCCCAGACTCCAAAATGATCCAATACACACGTCCTCAACAAATCCTCTAGTGATTGGATCGTCCTTTTTAACAGACCATTTGTTTGGGGATGATAAGCTGAACTCATCTGCAATCAGCTGCCCAACTTACTCTGTAAAGTCTGCCAAAACTTGGATGTAAATCGCGGATCTCTATCAGACACTATGCTCGATGGTACTCCATGCAGCCTTACTATTTCTCTGATATACAATTGAGCAAGCTTCGCCATATATATCCTCAAATTCACTGTCAAGAAATGAGCACTCTTAGTTAACCTGTCAACTATAACCCAAATAGTATCGTGACCTCTAACCGTCCATGGTAAATGGGTAACAAAATCCATGGATATGCTATCCCACTTCCACTCAGAAATCTCCAACTGATGCAACAAACCTCTAGGTCGTTGATGCTCCACCTTTGCTCTCTGACAGGTCAAAGAAGCAGAAACAAACTGTGTTACATCTCTTTTCATCCCTGACCACCAAAAAGATTCTTTAAGATCCTGGTACATCTTATAGTCATGCCAAGATGCATGCTAAAATGACTTTGGTGTCCCTCCTCAAGAATCAATCTCTTTAGTTCAACGTCATTAGGAACACAAACTCTGCCTTTGATTCTCAAAATACAATCAGCTCCCAAAACAAACTCCTTACCCTGATCTATATCCAACAAACTCACTGATTTCTGTAGCTCGACGTCAGATAATTGTATCTCTTTGATACGACTCAGAAGACCACTCAAAACTACTATATTACTGCACTTGATAACATTTGACTCAAATTTCACTTATAGTCTCAGATCTCTGAATTTCTCCACTAACTACAACTCTCTGACCATCAATGTAGACATATGAATTGTCTTTCTACTTAATGCATCCGCTACAACATTAGTTGTCCCCGGATGATAAAGAAGATCAAATTCATATTCTTTTAAAAACTCCATCCATCTTCTCTGCCTCATATTAAGTTCCTTTTGATCAAAAAGATACTTTAGACTTTTATGATCACTGAACACCTAAAATTGTGCACCTTATAGATAGTGCCTCCAAATCTTCAAGGCAAAAATAATAGCCGCCAGTTCTAAGTCATGAGTAGGATAATTCTTCTCATGAATCTTAAGTTGTCTCGAAGCATAAGCAACTACCTTCTTTTCTTGCAACAACACACATCCTAGGCCTTAGTAGGAAGCATCACAGTAAACCTCAAAAGGTTTACCTGTGTCAGGGATCACCAACATCGGGGCACTCGTCAACCTTTGCTTTAACTTTTGAAAGTTAGACTCACACCTGTCCATCCAAGAAAAAGGTTGATATTTCCTTGTCAACGGTGACACTATCTTAGAAAATCCTTCTATGAACCTACGATAGTAGCCCATCAACCCAACAAAGCTCTTAATCTCCGTAGCAGACTTGGGTCTCTCCCAAAGCAACACTGCTTGTACCTTTGCAGGATCCACTAATATACCATCAACTGAAATCACATGTCCTAGAAACTGAGCTTCTTCCATCCAAAACTCGCACTTGGACAACTTGGCATACAACTTTTTCTCCCTCAACACCCCAAGCACCGTCCTAAGATGATCAACATGCTCCTTACGAGTCTTGGAGTAGATAATAATGTCGTTCATGAAGACGACAACAAACTTTACTAGGAACAACCGAAAGATTTTGTTCATATAGTCCATGAATATGGCTGGAGCGTTAGTCACACTAAAAGGCATTACCACATACTCGTAATGACCATATCTAGACCTAAAAGCAGTCTTCTGCACATCACCTACCTTAACCAGAATATGATGGTAACCCGACCTCAGAACATCGTAGCTCCATGCAGCTGATCCATTAAGTCATCAATTCTGGGCAAAGAATACTTGTTTTTGATAGTCAATTTATTCAACTGTCGGTAGTCCACACACAACCTGGAGCTACCATCCTTCTTTTTGACTAACAATACCGGTGCACCCCAAGGTGAGACATTCGGTGGGATAAACTCTGCAGGAGCCATCCTATAAGGGGAAATTGATACTGGCCCTACACTAGGCACTAGATTAATAGAGAAATCAACCTCTCTTTGAGGAGGTAATCCAGATACTTCCTCCGGGAATACATCTAAGAAATCACTCAGTGACCTAAGCTCTGTCCAGACTGATCAACCTCCACATGTGTTAAAATTAAGAAACAGCACGAACCTCCAATTACCTCATGTCGCACCTATCCTGCAGACAACAACTCAGACTCTATTGTATCAGAAAACAACAACTTCTTCTCACCACAGTCTATAAGAATGTGATTTGCAGATACCCAATCCATCCCTAAGACCACATCCAAACCCAACAGAGGCAAACATATAAGATTGACTATAAACGGTCGCCCCTCAACACTCAAAGGACATCTAGAACACATAGAAGATGTCTTAACCAACTCAGATGTTGGAGTAGACACTACAAGGTCATACTGTAACTCTCTAACTGGTAGCCCCAACTCTTGCACACAAGCCTCTGACACAAAGGAGTGTGTCGCTCTAGAATCAAACAATACATAGCAAACTGTACCAAGCAACACACTACTACTGACAATAAGATTACCTGATCTTACTACCTCTGCCCCAGACATGGCGTAAACTCTGCCTGTAGCTTGAGGTCTGCCACCTCCCCTCTGCTATGACTATATGGGTCTAGGTCTTGATCTCCCAATTGCTGGACAATCTCTCTCAAAATGTCCATCCCTGCCACACATATTGCATCTCCTAAAACCGACCAACTAAGGACAAACCCTCTTCACATGTGGCCTACCACATTGATAACATTGCACTCCATCCGCCTGCCCTAACTAACTGCTCTCATAGACCCATGAGATGGAGGCCTAGAATAAGGTTTTTAAGTGATTATTTACAAACCATCCTCAAATCATGTTTAAGTGATTATTTACAAGATTCCACTCTAACATTTCACAAATCTCAACTTATAGACTCAAAATGAATTATACCATTTTGAGCTCATACTTGTGCAACTTAGGTATCAGAACAAGTCACAATTGACTTCATTATAGACCCAACCACTCAAATTTGTCTCAGAACATTCCCATCAAAATTTCACTACTCAAAACCCCAAATTTGCACCTAACACCATCTAAATCATCACCAAACTACTAATACCATCTTTCTAAACAGATTTCAACTAATTAACAACCCTAGCAAGTCACAATTCACATCTAGACAAGCTTTAAAACTGACTTTACCCTAACAAACTCTTAACTCACCCACCAAACCCCCTTTTTAACGTTAAAATACTAATAGTTCATCGTATATTTTGATTCCTCTCTACTGTAAACATTTTATATTATCATCCTTCACCACACCAATCACACATACAAGCCAATAATCACCTTTAACCAAATTCATACAACCATTTTCATTCAATCACTCATGCATATCTAAACAACACACAAATCAAACATCAAAAGTTAACATACATTAAATTTTCTTACTATTACATACCAACACATACTTTGCAACTCAAATTAAAAGAAAAACACTAGCTTCCCTTACCTTTAACCCGATCGCCCAATTTCTCAAAACGCTCCACCGATTTCCTGCAACGCAAGGAACTTATAAAAACACCTACAAATCACCAATTGGTGATTAGAGACCAACTTTAGAACCTCAATTGAACCAAGAATCAAGGAAGAAAGATTCTGGAGCCATGCAAAATCAAAATCACCTTGCATGATCATGAGCCCTAAAATACAAAGGGAAGGGATTATCAGCTTACTTGCTCTAAATAACGAATTGATTGGTTGAAGTTGTAAACTTTGACGCAATGATCGTCTAGGTACCTCCTGATAGTCAGACAGATGATCAAGGAGTTAGAATGCTTAGAGAGATGGTAGAGAGGTTAAGAGAATAATGTTTTAGAGAGATAGAAGGTGTTTTAGATAATGAGATGAGTTTAGAAAATTCTATTTATATTATGATATTATTTTATAATAAAATACTCGGTCTTATTATTTTAATACACCTATCAACTCTAATATTTTATTTTCGAGGTTCTTACATTATACCAAACAATAAAATATATAACTCAGATCGTTAGATTCTCATTTAAGAGTTAGGGGAGTTTTTATCCTTATTAACAATGTCAATATTTAGATCTCAAAATTTGTTGAGTATTATTTGGTCAAATCCTCACATAAATTAAAATTTCATAATAATTTTGCCTTAAGGTGCTTCGGAAGGTCAAAAGAAAAATACGTAAAATTATTTAGTGTACTAAAACAAATTTTATATATTTTAAATTGATTTTTGGATATGATTTTTGTTTTATTAAAAAGATTATATTTTTTAATTGAGTATTTATATTTTATTCCATCCTTAATTAATGTTATATGACTTTTAAATTACATTGCTTTTTCTTATGTATCCATACATTAAAAAGAAGTGACATAATTATGTTTTAAGTATCTTATTAATAATATTTATATCTTTCAATTAAGTGTTTATTTTGTTTTTATCTAAAGTTGAATTAAATGACTATTTTATTTGGTAGTCTCAAATACAATCCCAGAAACTTCAATAGTAATAAAAGTCAATGAGATGAAATATCTCTTATTTATCTTTATGAAAAGTACATACCTTTTTTTTACACAAATTCGTACCAAGTCTGTAAAGACACAAAACAGTATCGATCGATAAAGATGAACTATCATATATTCTAATTGTAATTTGATTGAATTTGGATTTTCCGATAGTTGTTATTATCATTTTTTTTCTTGTCTTTAAAATACACTAATATATATTTAATATTTTAAAATTTATTAAAAAGTTTTCTAGTATAACAACATGAGTATAATTTAAAGACTAAGTAGAGGAATCTAGATACTTCTGATTAGTGAATCAAACTCAATTAATAATATATTTTAATTAAAATATATAAAATTTTACATACTTAATAAAATAATTTTTTAGTATAAACCAATTAAAAATACTAAAATTTATAAAATATTTAAAAATTCGAGCCCTTAGGTTGCTTCCATTCACGAAAAAAATTGGATGTAGAAATTAATTATAAAATATAAAATATCATCTTAAAAAAGTATTTTTCTAATAAAAACTTCATTAAAAATAAAGAATAATTCATTTAAGATTTTTATGCATCTATCAAACAAACAACTTTAATTCGTTCATGTATGTCCATTCATGGTCCCTACCATACATAAGATCTGAGATTGGTAACGATTTAAAAATGGTGCAAGCGAGTGACTTCAGCTGACAAACGAGTAATCCTTTGTACTGGATAAGAACCGTCCACCTCGTATTCAGATCATCCCAACTCGCACTTCGTGCTTCTTAAGATTTGCAGCCATCTGAGTTCAACTGATTACTCTGATCATTCCATGTCGTTTCCGTACGAGATCTCGTTTTCACGACACTTAGGACTCCCCGAACACGTGTTGTAAAAGTCTCGACCCTAAAGAATCCCCAAAAGAGACACCCAAGATCTCAATCTTGGCCTCTCAATTCTCTTCAAAATCTCATGAATTTGACTCCAATTTCTGCTCTCTTCACTTTTCCCTCGCTAGCCCTTTCTCAGAAGATCGACAAGTTCAGGTTCAAACTCAAGTTCTGAGGCCGATTCAGATTCTGGGTGTGTGCAATTGATAAATTCAGGTTCAAGATCAGGTTTTGAGTTCAATTCATTTTCTGGGTGTGTGAAATCGGAGAGAAAAAAAAAAGAGACATTTTGAAATTTGGGGTGCAAAAACACAGTGGTTTAATTTGGTTAGGTTTGTGTTAACATGGGTGGTAGTTTTTCCTCTTGTGTCTGTGATGGAGATGCTACCCCCTTGAGGCCAAGGCTTGGGGATTTACCCGAGAGCTGTGTGGCACTGATGTTGATGTATTTGGACCCACCAGATATTTGCAAGCTTGCACGACTGAACAGGGCGTTTCGTGATGCTTCGTTAGCTGATTTCATTTGGGAATCGAAGTTACCTTTGAATTATAAGTTCATCGTGGAGAAAGCTTTGAAGGATGCTTGCGTAGAAGAACTGGGGAAGAGGGATACTTATGCCAGACTATGCAGGCCTAATTTGGTAGACAACGGGACCAAGGTAAGTTTTTATATATTTTCTGTTTTAGATCAGACTCAGAGTTGAACTTTAATGCAAACCTTTTTTTCATGTGAATTATTTTTGGTAAAACTCCGATTGTAATGGGATTATGTGTACCCAAAATACTCATACAACTGCATATTATCTTTGTCCTTGTTTATACTCATCCTTTGTATTTACTCTTCAAGTTCTTGTTGTTTTCTTGTCAAAAAATGTGATGATGGTATAGGAAATTTGGCTAGACAAGAGGACGGGTGGATTGTGTTTGGCGATTTCTTCCAAAGCGTTGAGGATTACAGGGATAGATGATCGGAGATACTGGAGTCGCATTTCGACAGAAGAGTCAAGGTGAGATAATTGTAAGTAAAAATATGTTTATGTTACTCGGACTTTGTTTTGTTGTGTTTACATCTTAATGAGTTGAAAACAAAACATTGCTCTTGCTGGATTTTGTTTGTGTTCCCTTTTGAGGATTGCTGTCAAAGATTAATCACCTTCTGGCTTTGTTATTTAACTTGTTGACAAACTCGAAGATTGGATTTTTCTACTTCTCCAAAATCATTTTACAAGTATTCAAGGTTATCTAATACCAAATCTCTAATGTAAGGGTCTGAATGAGTTTAGTTGCCAGGTAATTAATCGAACCTGGTATGTTAAACGTTCGTCTGAGTTTGTTTTTTTAACTAAATGAATGGCTATAAATGAACTAAACTAAAAATTTGTACGTTTTACATTAATACTTTGCCAATAACTGCTTTATGTATGTATGCTTTGGACAATTGTAATTTCGTTTATTATATTTATTTAACATTGCAAACCTGTTTATTATCTTTTAACGTATACACAACTTACTAAATGTCAACTTTCAAGAGTCTTACTTTAAATAAATGGCAACTTTTTGTAACATTCATTTTTATCTTCTAAGGTTTCATCTCTAATCTGAAGTCATTTCAGGAATACAAAACTATACTTTATTACGATATCTCCTCTGCTTTCTAGCATGAAATCGATAAAAGTTTAGTCATGGTTCTGTGAATGTTCTTAGAGCAGCTTTTCCTGTGGCTGCTCAATTTTGTAGATTTAGCTACCTTCTGCTGGAACACATGAAATTAATCATTTTAAAATTGCATGACCCCCTCTTACTTTTAAGTTATGACATATTTTCTATGCTCTAGATGATGAAACTTGATGTATTATACTATTTATTTCCATAACAGATTCCACACAGTTGCTTATCTTCAACAAATTTGGTGGCTTGAAGTGGAAGGAGAAGTTGATTTTCAATTTCCACCTGGGACTTACAGTGTGTTCTTCAGACTCCAGCTCGGCCGATCTTCGAAGAGGTTAGGTCGTCGAGTTTGTAAGACTGATCACGTTCATGGCTGGGATATAAAACCTGTAAAATTTCAGCTAACAACTTCTGATGGTCAACATGCTGTATCCAAAACTCATTTGGATAACCATGGAAATTGGGTTCTCTACCATGCAGGAAACTTTGTTTCTAA